GCGGGGGTCCGGGGGTCAAACCCCTACCCCGGCTTTGCCCCTGGGGGCCCCCGCGTGACAACCCTGACCGCAAGGCTGTCGCCCTTTTTTGTTAGACCACCAGTACTTGGCCCAGCTATCGCAGGCGAGCCTGGAAGTGCCCTGCGCACCGTTTCCCGCCGAAGCTCCAATTCCATTTTTGTTTTCGGAAAGGCTGGCGGCGCCAGCCTTCTAGGTCCGGTTGCCCGAAGCGCGAACTTCGCGTAGCGTTAACGCTAAGGCCCGCGGCCGATATATGGGCCAAGTACTGGTGGTTTAAGGAAGAGAAAAAAAACAACGACAAAAGAAGAATAAATTCAAAAAAATTATTCCAGACAGGCCTCCCCGCACTGACATTCAGACCACCCTGTCGGGGACATCTCTGTTCAGAAATCTAGATTGAAACCGCGATGGCATGAAGAGACAAAAAAAAAGGAAGAAAAAACTTCAAAGGAACAGCATAAACTTCATAAAGTGGATGTTCCTGTTGGCTCAAGAACCAGTTTACAGGGAGACTGTGAGAGAGAGGCAGGGGGGGAGGAGGGGAGGAGGGGAGGACGCAAGGAAGAAAGAAAGTGAACCACATGGGAATGGTGTTGCAGAGCCGTCCGGCTCATGACGTTTTTTGCAATAGAACTTATAGAGGGGAACTCAGGGCATAACTCACACTGGGACTTCGTTACTTGTTTAAGGGCGTGATTGTGGTCAGATGCATGCACGTACATCCGTAAATATGTCAGACACATTAAAGGTAGAGTCAGTGTGTCTGACTCTCTGTGTGAGTACGCCCTAAGATTAAGATCCCTCCAAAGTGAGGTGGGTACCAGGCGGACGCCCAAGAGTTGAAAAAACTTGAAAGGCATCTAACAAGTGTGCCGAGTCTGCAGACGAATGTTGACAAACCTGGATGTTATAACCGCGCCGAGCAATCACTCCGGTGATGTTGTTCAGAACACCCGGCGAGTCTCTGACCAATAAACTGAGAGTATGGGAGACGAAGCCGCTTGGCTGCAACATGCAACAAGCAACACGTTCAGTAGTGGCAAGCAGAATCAAGGTCATCGTAACAGAAAAGCCATAATCCAAAAAAAAACACAAACTAGGAAGAAGAACTTTCGCGCACCCACACATCCAAGCAGTGCCCTGCCCAGACACAAACCGAATGCTCTGGCAGGCGCCGCCCGGCCTCGACGATCCAGAAAGTGTGTGCCCAGCCAGGCATGACACCTGGGCAGGGTTCCGGAGAAGGCCGGGCGCACAATCACACTGCGAACGACTGTTTTGGCTGAGGGTCACCTCAGAATTCCTTACTGAAATGAGACAATAAAGAAGAAAATTCAAAATAACGACATCAGACTAGGGAACCCCCTTGTAAGCCCCTTTATTATCCCCTTTAAATTTTAAGACCCAATTATACTACCCTTCCCCCCCCCTTAACGGACAACACTGGAAAAAAAGCAGCGCCCGGATTTGGGCTCCTCTCACCGAGCACGGAAGACCCCCACTGCCAACAGAAAAACAAGCTTCCAAATTACCAGACTTTTTTACACTCCTGGGTACCCCGGGTGGCAGAGAGAGACTCCCCGGGCGTGCCGCCCAGCCACATGGCCGGGTGGCGGAAAAAAACTTTGGAGAAAAAGAAGGAAAAAGCAAGACCATCCTTCGAAAACCCATGCATTCAAATTTCAAACTCTATGATCAAATCAGATAAATACAATACTGCAGTGAAGAGATACCAATTGCATAAAACTGCCCAGCCAACATTCAGTTGATGATATCACCCACCCATACTTGCATTCTCCATCTGTACACACAAATCCATCTGTACACACAAATCCCCACTCTGACTACCCTCACTGATTGCCGATGCTGAGACCCCTGTACTCCTCTGCCAAATGGGGCTTCAACAATCCCTGTGGAATACCACCGCACCCCCCCTGAATTCCAACCTTCAACTGGGATGCCATACTATACACCGAGCGGCGAGCTGGCTCTATACTGTTCATTAGCTCGTCTTCTTTATTTCTTCTGCTTCAGTCCAGGTCGTCATCCTGCAAGACCAACCAGCTAACCGCCTCTTCACCAAATTAAACACTTGTCAAAAATGCTCGTCATACCCTCCCCGGTATGCATAGTCATCTTTCTCTCTGATTTAATCAAGGTCCTCATCCTCGGTTCTCTTCTGGTCTACCCCCTAAGACAGACCATCTCAGACCCCCTTCTGCCACCCCTGGTCTACCCCCTAAGGCAGACCATCTCAGACCCCCTTCTGCCAGCCCTGGTCTACCCCCTAAGGCAGACCATCTCAGACCCCCTTCTGCCAGCCCTGGTCTACCCCCTAAGGCAGACCATCTCAGACCCGCTTCTGCCAGCCCTGGTCTACCCCCTAAGACAAACCATCTCAGACCCCCTTCTGCCAGCCCTGGTCTACCCCCTGAGACAGACCGTCTCAGACCCCCTTCTGCCAGCCCTGGTCTACTACCCCCTGAGACAGACCATCTCAGACCCCCTTCAGCCAGCCCCTCACTCAGTGAATAGACTGCAAATCTCCATAGGCTGATCCGACAGGCAGCAGAGTATGGGTACTTGTAGCTTTCTTCTCTTCCAGCCCAGTCAGTTTGTTCCCCTTTCTGTGTGTACCCCACCCCGTCGTATCCATGTCTGCTGTACCTCTTGTCAGCTATGTCTCCTTCACGGTCATATGATTTGAATCTTCTCACAGTGGCTCTTTCACATATGGCCCTTTCACATGAGGCTCTTTCACCTTAACACACGTTTTACTTCTTGCCGTGTGTAGCCCTTTCACACGTGGCGCTTTCATGTGTGGCTCTTAAGAGTCTTAACATGTGGCTCTTTCACTTTCTCATGTTTTGGTTATTGTCACATGTGGCTCATTCAGCTTTCCCCTTTTTCGCTTGTTCTTATCCACTCTCACATTGACAGCAAGCATTTGCAAATTTTCACACTATCACAGAGCCATGGTAAGAGGGAAGAAAGGACCAAAAAGGATGTTGCGTGACCGTAGGGGGAGGCATGTGAAGCTGGGAATTTTCACTCACGTCATCGACGACACCGCCCCAATCCGGGTCCAGCACGTGTGGAGCTTCCCAAACGCCGGTCACATCATCGTCGTTGTCCATAGGATAGACATCACCCTGTGCACACAACGGATATTGTTGTCACACGGAGCAAACGAGGTCATCCTTCGGATATACATCACCCGGCAAAAACGAAATCGGATAGGATGTACACCACCCTATGCACAACGGAGAGGTTGTTGTCATCGTAAATTAACTTATGGGATAACAATGTCATTATTCCATAGAATCCATACCATTGTGAGGTACAATCATCATTCACGCCGCTGAAAACAGAAAAAGGAGACGTTGCGTCGTGAAGCCAAAGCAGTAAAAGGGAACGAAAGGCAATCTATCAGTTCACAGGACGTCAAAGTTGCTTCGGCACAAGTATAACTGCCACAACGAACATTTGATCCCAAGAGCCGGACGGCAATCGTCCCTCGCAAGCCAGAATAAAACAATGGGGTTTCTTGGGGTGGTGTTCATGCACATGAGGATGCCATCTACAAGAATGAAAAAACAGGTTCAGTGCAGAAGAACTAGGGTCTCCCGCAGCTGCGTCTGTAGCAAGCTAGCATGAACATAACCAGCTCTGTGGCTAAATCGAAAGGGTCTCACCGTCTCACGCATTTCTTTCTGTGCCTAAGTTCCAGTCCCGGTCCCGAAATTGCCCAGAGTCCCAAGCCAATGTATCATAGCCCAACCGATAGGTAGGTCCCCGTCCATACAATCAGACCAGGAGGTCGCTAGAAGTCGTAGGTCCACTAGAAGTCAGACCAGGTTGAAATCCCAAATATAGCAGCTCGGTCCGGGAAAGTCCAGTAACTATTAGAAGCATCAAGTGACTGTGGGCCCAGCAAGTCAGGGCCCGCTGATAGTCTTAAAACTCCACTAGTGGGAGCTGCAGCCAAGTACAAAAGTCCAACGCCAGTAGGGCAACAAGACAATTTCCCACTTGAGTCTGTCGCAGAAGCGCTGCTGATGGGACTGGCGGGAGAGAGTCGAGTCATATAGTCAACGGTACAGGGTGTCAAAGCTAGAGCTTGTGAGTGCGAGAGAGGAGTGTGTGAAAGATAGGAAGAGTGAGGAATGAAGAGGAAACTAACAGAGCAATACGATCCAGAGTGAGGGGGGGTCAACAGACACACACACACACACACACACACACACACACACACACACACACACACACACACACAGAGAGAGNNNNAGAGAGAGAGAGAGAGAGAGAGAGAGAGAGAGAGAGAGAGAGAGAGAGAGAGAGAGAGAGAGAGAGAGAGAGAACTGGCACGCTGTGCAGAGAGTCGAATGAGTCCCGGAAAACACTTGGTAGGCAGTTGGGGGTTCAGTTCGATTTAGATTTAGATTTACACTTAGATTTACATTTAGATTTACATTTTGATTTAGATTTAGATTTAGATTTACATTTAGATTTAGATTCAGTTTTAGATTTAGATTTAGATTTAGATTTGTCTACCAGGCCCTGTCAATGGGTATGGGTAACCGAAGCTGGGTAATGGTCCCAGTAAGTCTGTTGGTTCGAGGTAGACTGTGAGGACCACGGCCTCAAGTTTAAAAATAATGAACAAGAGAAATGCTTGTTGGGAAGGGTGAAAAAAGGGGGGGGAAGCTGTGGCCTCGAACTTTTTTTTTTTTTTTTTTTTTTTTTTTGCTGGGATCTTCTTTGGCCCTTGCACGGCCAGGCCGCCGGGGCAAACAAGGTCACCCGGGCGGCCCGGCTGGTAGCCTAGCACCCTGTGGCAAAACAGGACTACAAAGGGGGGACCATGGGGAGTGGAGAACCATGTGGAAAGGAAATGGGACCTTGGAGGAAACAGGACCACATGGGACAATGGGGCCATCAGGGATAACCGGACCATGCGTGAAAACCACATGGAGAGGAAAAACTGGGACCACGTTGAAGCATGTAGAGAACCAAGTGTTGGTTGGGGGTACCTCAGCGGACAGAGGGGCTGTTGTGCTCGGTGTCGATGCAGCACCACCAATCAAAGTGTCCCTCCTCTTCGCACCACTTCGCTTCACCCACCCCTTGGAGCCAGGGCGCTCTACACGATCGTCATCGTGCTCCCTTTTCAAGGCAATCTGCATGCACACAGACAGAGAAACGTTTTCAAAATCAATCACTGTAATATCGACCATGGGGAGTGGCGTACTCCATTCCTGAATCTCCACAGTGCCCTTTCTTCAGGAAGGGCATGCAATAAAATCAGAACCAGGAAAACATTAAACTCTTCTGGCCCTGCAAACAGATACGCCAGCGAAATCACACAATTTTCTGAAACATTTGGAAGAGTCGGACGTTTCTTCCATAACGAAGAACAAACGCGGTCCTTGAGCTACCCAAACTACTGTGTCCACCTGAATGGAACGCCCGGTAATTATCACTGTATGTGGACTGAAGGGCGCCCAAATACAGCTACAATGACCGGGCGTTCATTTGGGTGGGAAGATGGTAATCCCATCTGAAGTGGAGCCACAACGATACTGATACGCTTCAAAAACAGTAAGGGAGAAGACGGCCCAGGAAAGTCACACTCACCGTCAGACTAAATGGACTGAATACAGCCGTAATATGGGTCAAATACACTAAAACCGCAAGTACACGGCCCGGGTAAACTTGAGAATTGAAAATGAGTCATTCCAAATAGTTTGCATGAACAGTGCTCCCGGGCCAAAATGGCTGGCGACGCCAGTCGAAAGCAAGAAAAAGAAAAAATCAAGAATGCCGCTTAACCAGGTTGCTTCCTGGCTCCTACCGTCTTCACCCGAACACAACGCCCCGTAATTATCGCTGTATCTGGACTGAAAGTTGGCCCAAATACAGCTATAATGACCGAGCGTTCTATTCGGGTCAAGACGGTAGTAGTTGCTAACTCTGTCCATGATGACAGTTACCAGAATGCATACATCAGCTGTCATCCTATTCATCCGCTTGTCTGTTTTTTTTTTGGGGGGGCGGGCAGGGTTGGGGAGGGGGGGGGGGGGGGGGGGGGAAATGTTTGTGCAGGGGCCATGCTTATCCTCTCTGCATCACTCCAATTTTCACAGATGTACCAAAGACATTTACTTTTCGTTGGCGAGGAGATACCAAACATCCATTGAGTGCGCCCCTCAGCTGCTCAACACTCCCCCCCCC